CAAAGCCTGTGATGCGCACCGCCCGCCGCGCCTCCGAGGACCTCCACCCGCGTGCCGGCCGCGCGCGCCCGGCCCTCGCGTGTGCCGGACCTGTGACTCCCTCCCGAGGCGAGAGCGCGCGGCTCGCCGCCTCTCGGCCACGCCCCTTCCCGGCCTCGCTCCGCCCACGGAAAGCTGAGTGACGGCGAGTGGGAGCCAATCGCGACGGCCTCTATGAGGCGGAGGTACCAGATGCACTTCCACGCCCCCTGCAGACTTGGGGCCCTTCTGGCTCGACGCAGCTGCCTGTGAGCGTGAGCGGCTTTTGGCTTTCCAGTCTGTCCCGGTTCTTTGGAACGTGGCAAACGTGGAAGCCGACAGGGCTCTCGCGAGCGTTGGCGTCCTCCCCTGGTCTATAATGGGGCGTGGGAGCGGGACCGGGCGCGAGGGCGGGGCGGGCGGACACACACGTGTGCCGCTCCTCGACCTAGCGCGCCGCCCCTCGGCCTTGCTCTGGGTATTTGGTTCCAGTCACTTTCCCTATACGCAGACGCAAAGCAATGCAATACCGCTCATTGCGAAAGAGATGCCAGTTTCTTGTCAGTATTAACATCGAGACGTTACTGAAATGGTGATAATAGGTCTAGTTCAATACGTAAGCCATAGTAATTGATCTCTTTGGTGTTATAAGCAGTAATTTAGTTTGTGCCATCAGTATGATCAGAGAATCTTAGTTAAGACATGAAAATGCGAATTGGCACAAAAAGTTCATTTTCTTACCTTGGACGGCATCTTTTACTTGAAATCTCCCTCTGCCAGGCTAACTAACGCCTGTAGCCGTCGTTTCTCCATGTCCCACGTGGGTCCCCTAGTGTGTACTCGCAGAGTGCTGGGTCTGTGCTTCCTCAGAAGTCGTAATAGGGTAGTAAAAATGTCTGGGAAGGTGGATGAGCCAGACTAGTGCTTGAGGTCATGGACGTCTCGGACATCTTTGTGTCACCAGTTGCTAATACCCTGTCTGGTGTGTAATGGACAAGCCAAGTAATATGTTTGGTGATTTGATACATTTCTGTCAACTTCCTAAGAGGCTACTGGTTCCTCCTTGTACCCCCAAGGAAACAGTTACAATGACTTTTCTGCATTCGTTATTAGAAAATAAAACTTGTAACAAAATTTCTGGCACCAGACACTGCCGGCTGTATATACAGTTTAGTTTCAGATACTAAACTCCTCTAAGCTAAATATCAGAATTACACATTTTACATCTATCCATAGTTCCCAATCTGTGGGCATTAAAAAACCAAGTTTTCCTTGGATTCCTGAATTTGTTTACATAAAACCTTTCCTCAGCATGGAGTAGGGGAGGTGAGGTTGTCAAAATGTCTTTGAAATTAAGTCAGAGGTCAAATGTCCCTTGTTAGGTTATCTGTTTCTCTGTAATTTCCGAGCAAGCTATGAATGAACACTAGGTAAAATAATGTTAAAAGGACAATAAAGACAAGATTTAATTAGGACAATGTATTAAAATACTAATTTAATAGAGCTTTTGAACTAGGCCAAATGTGTCTTTCAGATATTTCCATAATTTTCCATTGGCTTCACTGGGATTTGCAAGTGAGAACTGGAGTCTGCCATTTGTCCCAGTTTCCCCCTCCTCCACTGTTGACCACTTACAACCTCCAGTCAAATGCTTTCCAAATTAAATATTTCCAGTGTTAGTTATCCCTACAAAAACATTGCTTTCAAGTTCCACTTTAACCTGCTCCCTAGAAAGTGCTTCTCATTTTTATGCAACCTTCCTAATCTGAAATGTTATTATTGCAAACTAAAAATGATTATTTCCTCATTTTTATTTGCCATAGTAAATTGGGTCATAGTGGAAAAGAAATGAATTTCAAATGGTCATGATTCAGTTGTATGGTTTCATATTATATTAGTGGAATTTGTTGCAATGAAATTGTACTTACTGGTAAGTATAAGGGCGCTTTTAAGGTATTCTGTACTCTGTGTTCTCAAAGAAATTATTTCCCTGTGAGGTATATTTCAACAAATAAATGAACCATCATTTTCACCAAATAATTGACTTTATATCGCCGTACAAAAAATAAGCCTGGTTAACATCTATGTCATAAATACATAAAATGAATTTATGTGAGCAGAAACAATTTTAAGTGTAGTCAAAAAGTAAATTAGACCCAGAAATGTTGTTCCCTAGCAATATGAGTAAATGACATGAAATCATACTAAGAAATCTATTGTTTCTTTTTTTAATTTCAATTCTTTGTATTTTCTATCAAAACCAGTACTTCCTAATACTTCCAAAGTTCCTTCCTAATAAATAGTATTTAAGTAATGGCTAGTTCGTAAATTTCCTAGCATAGGAAAATGATAGAACTAACTGACTACTTCTAAGTCTCAAACCTAATGGCAGAAAAGAAACTTAAGCATGAATAAAAACCCAAATAATTAGAAAATAATAAATAATTGCATGCATGGAAATTCTATATAGTATATAGAGGGAATATTAATGTGATTTAGGAATGTTTTGAAAGTAGCAAAAGAAATAAGAAAAAAATGTGGAGAGATCTCACAAGATTGAATTGTTTGTAAGATAATAATTTTACTTAAAATATATCCTTTCTTTCAAAGATCTAACTAATGTGTGTGTTGGTAGGGTCGTGTTTGTGTATCACTAATTATTTCTATGTGTAATGAAAACAACCATTTACTTCAGGTAGAAACAAGTCTCTAAGAAAAGTATTCTAAACCTAGCATTTAGGTTGTTCCATTTTCATCCAGTCTAAATATACATAAACATATGGATATGCTTTACAACGAATAGCACTATTACAGTATGCAAAACTGGATTAATTAGTCAACCTGAATCCTTCCTAGTTGATAGGAAATCATGAATATACTACGTGAAATTAGTATTAACTCAGCTCTTTTTGCATTGTCATCATTTGGACTTGAATCTATTGTTGTTTCATAAGCATATGACAAGCATTACTGAGCTTAGCTCATTCCAAAAAAAAAAAAGTCCCTGAAGGGTTTGCAAGCATAAAAAGTGGAGGTCTTCCTGTATCATTGCAACTAAATGTTACTGACCTAAAGACCACTGCCACAATGTTGAAATCTACAGTATTTAAGATGGACAATATTCATTAGTTTAAAAATTGTGGCTAATGGACCAATAGTCCAGAATATTATGTAATTTTTTATGGAACTGGCACAATTCTGACTTCATCAGATGACAAATTCATTTCTCTTATGGCAGATCCCTTTGAGTTAGGGACAGACACCAACGTGTTCACTAAAGCCACTTCTCCTAGCACCAGAAAGCATATTAACCTAATAAAATTGAGTGGAAATTATTTCCAAGCAGCTATTTCATAAACTATGTAAAATTATGTTTTCTCCACTTATTTTTTTTTTTTTTTGAGACAGAGTCTCACTCTGTTGCCCTGGATAGAGTGCCATGGTGTCATAGCTCCCAGTGACCCTAAACTCATAGGCTTAAGTGATCCTTTTGCCTCAGCCTCCTGAGTAGCTGGAACCACAGCCACCCACCACAATGCCTGGCTATAAGACTGATCACTCTTGCTCAGGCTCGTCTCCAACAAACAGTCCACCCACCTTCACCTCCCAGAGTGCCAGGGTTATAGGTGTGAGCCACTGAGTCTGGCTTTTTCCACCTCTTTAAGGTATCCATAGTGCACTTAGTTTTAGCTACAATACAAAAGAAGAATTGAGGGATGCAGTTAACAGAAGGGATGCATGTCAAAGCAATTGTGTGAAAACCTAAGTACAGAAGTTTTCATTGGTTGGATGTATCCCGAGAGATTTCTCTATCCAAAATTTGAGAAAATTGAAATCAAATACACTGTACACAAAACTTTATATTTACCCTGTACAAACAGCTCAAAATAATGCTAAGGTTTATGTGGAAATAAGTTATAAACAATATTTTTAAAAGTATATGCAGATTACAGACCAAGAGTGCTGTGGATATTCTCATGTCTGTATCTGGTGACCATGCCAGTGTTAAAGTGAAGTAGGTATCGTGTAAACTTTTCCCCTTGGGCTCTTTGCACTTGCCCTTCTGCCAGGGGTATGCTTTCTCCAGATTCCTTGCTTGGCACCCTCTTGGTTTAGCCTCCAGCCCTGCAGACCTGTCAAGGGGAAAGGTTTTTGGTAAGCACTGCGTGTAGATGTGCAATGATTAGCAATTAAAACCCTGGGTGGGCGCAGGTAAAGGCTTATATTTTTGGCATAAATACAGAGAAAGAAATATAAAGTCAATGTCTTTTTTTTTTAGAAGGAAAACTTTGCAAGTATCACACAACCTAAAAGGTTGTTTTTCTTAAAAACAGGTAGAGGTAGCCCATTTAACACTTATAGTTTCACACAAGTGTCAGGAGCAGTGGCGAATAGCTGAACAAAACATAGGAAGAAAATGAACCATCATATGAATCTGCACAGGAATCACTTAGAAAATATGTATCCTGAAGTAGAGAAATAGAGTTAATGAACCTCTCCTTGAAACATGAAATCCATCCAATCATACTCAGATAAATTGCCAACTCTAAAGTGACTATACAATGAGAACCTCCTGAGCTTCTGAAATGATATAACTTCCAAATCTGACCAGCTTGGGTCAGAGAAGATAATCTATGAATATTATAAAACTAGGATGGGAAAGGGGGAAGAAAGGGCTTTTCCCATTACCTAGGTTTGACTGAGGTTTTTATTCATTTTCACGCTGGGTGAGGTTGGTCTAACACCAGAATTCCGTTCGGTACCATCTATAGTTGGTTGGACATGTGTACCTGTGTATTAAGCACTTTGTAAATTTCACAGAAGTTTTTGTACATTGTCAGTTCATATTTCATCGAATCCTTACAAAAA